ACACACACACGCGCGCACACTCTCTCTCACACACACACTCACACCGGGAAAATACCCTGCCCAACGCCCCCCATGTTCATGAGGACGAGGGCGCTGGGCTCGGGCTACGGCAGCGTGCTGTGCCACCAGGCGGCGCTGGACCAAGAGAAAGCGCTGTGCGCTGTAGAGACTGCAAGCTGGCCATGGCTCGGACGTCCATTCCCTGTGCGTATGTCGATGTCGTGGGTGCATGTTTCTTGTGAGATGGCCAAAGATGCTCCTCGATGGCCCTCGCCGAGAAAGACTCCACACGTCCGAACGGTGCCAAGCAAGAGGAAACCCATACGGTAATCTGGCGAGGCCTCCCGTAAGATCCAGCTGCGAGCGGGCAAAGCCCGGCGCCCGCCCCCGCGGCAGAGCTCTCGAAGCGCCTGCGCCGAGTGCTTACAACTCCACCTTCGTCTCGGCAGCAGACAGTTTTGGCCCTTGCTTGCCACAGGGCCGGAGCGCCATTCAAGCGTCGGCACTGATCGCCCAATGCACGGAGCTCGTTCCTCGTGCTAGGTGTTCCAGGTATGATTGCCGTGCATGTTCTGTGCACTGCCGATGCGTTGTGCGTGTATTGTCGGGTGTCTTTTCGTTGCATGTTCTGTGCATCGTCGGTGCACTTTCTCTGTAGACTTCTGTGTTCGTGGCCTCAGCAGTCTTCTCGGGAAGGATTTCTCATCCCAGTGCTGTTGCACTGCATTGGTTCCCTACATTTTGATTCCCACGCGAACCCCCAGTATTTCCAGGGCAGCGAGCGGGATCTCCAGGAAGCCTTAAAAGTGTACCAGGGGCTGTCTGGGGCATTATCGAACCATGTAGGACATTATGTTTGGTGCATGTTCGATGGCTGTCTCTCTTTCTCTTTACACGGACATGCATATTCAGATGCAAATGACGATACGTGCATATCTGCATACAAACAAACATACAGTCACACATACATACGAACACACATATACACATACATAACCATACACATATGCATGGACACAAACCTATCCATAACCATCCACATACAACTAAAAGCACACACATATACACACATCTATACGTGTACACGTACGCATGCAACTACACATACACACATCCATGCATACATGGATGCATACATACACACATACACACGGACATACATACACACCTAAATTCATGCATGCAAACATTGACAAACCCATACATACATGCATGCAAGCATCCAATCAAACATATATAAAAAAAACATGTACACACAGGCCTACATACATACATGCATGCATACATACATACAAACACATATACATGCACACCCACACATATGCATACATACATACACACATACCTACATACCTACATACATACATACATACATACATACATACATATATACAAACATACATACATACATACAATTACCTACATGCTTACATGCACACGTGCATACGTGCACACACACACACACCTACATTCATACATACATACATACATACACACATACATACATACATGCATACAAACATACATACATACATACATACATGCAGACAACCAGACATACAGACAGACATACATTCATAGATACACACATACATACATACAAACACCATATCTATATACATACATCGAGTGTTCGGTTAATTTCGCGGTAGTGCTGTTGTATCCGTCGTGTCCTTGTGGCGCCTTACCGTGCGCGCTGCAGATCCCTCGGGCCAGCGCCGCCCGGGGCATCTGACGGCGCGCTCGAGGAAGTGCGCCGAGAAATTCCTCATCTCCAGGTGGCAGAGCACCGCCCGCCTGGACTTACGATTCATTCTCAGGGAGCGAATACTGCCATGAGCATAAGAACTCTGAGGTCCGCGCGGACTTCTCGGATCGGCGCTGCCCCTCTGGCGGCTTCTCAGGGACCGCCCCTGGCGCGCTTCGCGCGCCAGGCGAGGGGTCCGGCGCCGAGTCGAGAAGTCCGCACGGACCTCAGAGTTATGTGCTTATGTCATTGTTCGTTCCCCTGTTCTCGTACGAAGATGAGAACAGCTCGCACGCCGCCTCGTGCAGTCTCTAAACTGGGCGCCCAATGCGAGGGGGACCACGCGTGGGCGCCAAAATACGAGAAGGCGCTATGACCAAAACGTACCAGGTAACTGGACGGCGCCGGGCGAGCAGAGGAGCCCGATCGGAAGCCGACCAGAAGGCATCTTGGAGTGTGGGGTTGGGGTTCTTGTAGGCCCTCTTCCCTGTCAGAAGGCGCCCACCTCGCGCCACTCCATTGTGCGCGTCGCCAGAAGCTGGGGGGAGGACGACCAGAGTAAACCCAGAATGCGGCATCACAAATGGACCAACAATCCTGTCCAAAAACCCTGGGTCAAACGTGACTGCAACAAAACCTACTCGCTACAGAGCGCCTCGCCTTGTAGGACAAGGGTCCCATCAGCTTGCCGTCTAAAAGGCTCCCGCTTAGGAACAGTCGCCAATGCGTCTGGCTAAAAAAAGAGTACAACGGGGCAATATCACAGCGATGCAACTGAGTTAAGAAACAACGACTCTCAATACATGTAGATGCTGCGCAATTCGACACTCCGACCGTACAATACAAACATATCTGAAACGGTAACTCCATTTGGAAAAGAACGCGCCGTCGTGTGAAAACTGCTGGATTGAACTCCTCCCGCCATAAAGCTCAACGGCCCAGGTGTCCAGGGATGAAGTGAGAACCACATTTGAAACATATCCGTCGTCCACACACGCATGTTTTAGAACATTGAAGTTTCAATGTCAACAAGTGCTGAAATAAGTAAGGCGAAACGCCGAGCCCTCCTTACCGAGACGACTAGTGGCGCAACGAATAAGATTTAGTCATGCCACTGGAAAGCCACACCACTGCTCGTGCGTGCAATTGTGATTGTAAGGCGATGGTGGACGAGCTTACAGGATGACGACCGTGATGAGATGTGCTCATTCTTACTGACTCTCGATTTGCTACCCTCTTCTCTCTACTCTCTCTTCTCTCAGTTCCACTCCCCTCAATGTGTATACATATATATATAGACTACGTCTGCTCTCCCAACTCGTTGTGCTCTCTGTTCGCCGCCGTACCCTCGCCTGCTCGCTCTGCTTCTAAACCCTGGGAACTGCCGCCCACCGGAGTCGGAGGCAAACGGTCGCCAAGGATCTAGACCTGGCCGCCCACCGAACCCCCCGACTCACAGCTTCTTCGCTTCGCCAACTTCGGGGACGTCCAAGAGGGGGGGCGCAAATCATTGCCGGCGGCATGCGCGCGGCCCATGGGGGGTGGGCCAGGGATGTAACGAAAGTAGAAGGAAGAGGCGCCATGAAGTCTGTGGGAATATCATGGCCCCCGCCATGATATCCCCCCCCCCCAAGACATCACCCCCCTCTTGGCCGCCCCCGAGACACAACTTCGCTTCGCCAACTCCTTGCAACAACGGCACGCCCGCACCCGGGAAACCGGGAACGCCTGGCGGAAGCCCGCCCGCCCACCGAGAGTGCGCCCTGCACCCGTACACGTCCAAGGCTCCAACCGCCCACGAGGACCCCGTCGGTGCGAGCGCCGACGGGGGGACGATGATGATGGGCAGAGAAAAGGAAAAAACGCCATAAACATAAACTTTTGGCGCTCCGTGCAGATTTCTTGGATCCGCGCCGGATCCCCCTCCCTGGCGCGCGGAGCGCGCCAGGGGCGGCGCCAGAGGCGCCGCCAGGGGGCCCAGGCGCGGATCGAAATCCGCGCGGAGCGCTCAAAGCTAAGGGTTGGTGCCTCAATGATCGGGCCCGAGTAGATGAGGCCGAAGGATCGCGCCACATCGCGATGCATGGGCCACGTCGGCGATGCATCGGCGACGTCGGCGTGGGGAAACACGGGCTCCACATCGAGCCGCCGATGCATCGGCGATGCAGCGCGATCCTCCGACTCCATCTACTCGGATCCCATCTGGGAGGCCTAGGGAGAGAAGAAAGACGGCGACGACGAGAGTGGGACCTCTGAGACCTCCGGCCTCTTGTGGCTGGCACGCCGCCGTCCCCCCCCTCTCCCACGCCCTGCTTGGCACTGCTGGCCCGATGGCTACGATCCGCACCCCCGCAGCAAGGCACCTCTGCACCCGCGGGGGTTAGCCGCGCCAGAGGCCACCCAGAATCGAATCGATAAGTCGGATCGGCGATCGAAATGAATCGGATCGGCGGACATCGGCAGCTAAGTCGGGAGGAGTCGAATCGGCAGAAATTGGCATGCTTCCAATGAGAAATCGACAACCAGATCGGAATCCCAAGCCAAATCGAATTGGGATCAGAAGCCGTCGAAGTCGAATCGAATGGGAGGAATCGAAGCGAGCCCTGAGAGGCACACGCAATCAGGACGAGGAGGAAGAGGCAGGGCGGAGGAGGAGGAGGAGGAGGAGGAGGAGGAGGAGGCGAGGGAAAAGAGAAGAAGGAGGAGGAGGAGGAGGAGGAGGAGGAGAGGGAGGAGGAGGCGGAGGAGGAGGAGGAGGATGACGGAGGAGGAGGAGGAGGATGAGGAGGAGGGAGGAGCAGGAGGAGCGGGAGGGGGATGAGGAGGATGAGGAGAAGGAGGAGGAGGAGGAGGAGGAGGAGGAGGAGGAAGAAGAAGAAGAAGCAGGGAGGAGGAGCTGATTTTCACGCCTTTCTGCCCCCCGCGGGGCTCGTGCAGGACCTCTGGCGCCGCGGCTGGATCTCGGCCTCGGAATCTGGGCCAGCACGCAACCGAGAAGAGGTCCAGGGGGCCCTTTTTTATAGGGGTCCTGGGACACACAAATAAATATACACAATCCCAGTATTCCCCATAGTTTCCATGTTTTCTGGATTTTCGTCTTTTCCCCGCTGGCCATATCTTCCCATATTTTCCCGGGAATCGACGATTCACTGTGTCTGTGTGCTTCCTCCCCTCCTGATTTTTGGAGGCCACCGGCTGGCACCCTGCCTCGAGCCACACTTGCTTCCACGACCGAGCCAGATGAGAGATGGCCTCAACCTGGCTCTGAAAAATGTCGCGGGCTGCTGCTAGGAGGCCGCGCAAGAAGGCTCGGTGCAGGTCGCATTCCTGCGTGAAACCGGTCGTCGCCGGAGTTCCCGTTGAACAGCCAGTTCGCCGAGGAGTAGACGATCTTGCCGCCGACCTTGTCCAGGCAACATGCCTCCATGGGCGTCATGGAAAAGAGACGATCCTCCGAGTAGGGTATCGACTACAGAATTGCTTAATCTCAGAATCGAGTTTCTCGCCGAATCTACGAAAAAAACTTCTACGCATTTGTCGTAGATTCGATGCAGAATAATTTTTGGGGTGAACCAATTCTGTAGTCGAACCACTACTCGAATCCTTGCTCATCCAATCCCAGTCGAAGAACTCGAGCCCGTTGTAGTAGGAGTAGCAGTCGCGGCCCGCAGAGTCCCTCCAACGGTCGTCTGCGCTGCACCCGTTCCTGGGGAGACCAACACGTACGAATATCGTTCCTCCTCCTCCGTCGCCGCCTCCTCCTCCGCCTCCTCCTCCTCCGCCTCCTCCTCCTACTCTTCCTCCTCCTCCTCCTCGTCCTCCTCCTCGCCCTCCTCCTCCACCTCCGCCTCCGCCTCCGTACTCCCCGGGCGTCTCCGGGAGCGTGTCCTGACAAGGATTTCGAGGCGAATCCAGCGGTGGCGATGAGTGCCTCCCAGGAGGCCCCAAAGTGGAAACAGGGCGATGGCGAGCGGTACGGGCACCTTTTTCCTCCTTTGGCTCCCCTGGTCGTTGGGTCATAACTGGGCTCTCCGGCGGCCGTTCGAGACGATCCGGGCACCCCCGGAACGTTCTCAGCGAGGCGCAGCCGCTGGAGAGCATCCCGAGGCTGAAAAACCGCCGCGAACCGACAAAAACCGTCGAACACCTCGAATCTCGGGAAGCGGTAAGGGTACCTTTGTTTGTCTGCGAGGCGGGGATATATCCATATCCACCGCCTGTGGAACCGACGTCCTATCCAGGTGGTTATGATGTATATCTCCCCACCTCGAATTTTCAACCTCCGAGTTCCACTTCCACACGTCTGACGGGAGCCTCCAGACTGTCGCGGGCTCGAAGGTCCCGCCTGCCTCCCGGTGCGCGGGCGCGAAGATCACGCCACTGTACCGTTGTTGCGTCGCGCAGCAGGCGTGCACCGGGTTCCTGCCTTAAGGGGCAACGATAGGCTCGGGTCATGAGAAACTCATGGCGGGAGATTTTCCCCATTTTCGGCCCCTGGGGACCCGTACAGGGCATCAAGACCGTCAAAAACGACTTAGGATGAAAAACTGGTCTCGGGGAATAGGTCGATACTTCTTGGGGTCGACGTTATGAACAAAATCATGACGTCGGGGTCTGGGGGGGACTGGTACGGGGGGGAGGGTTCATCGGCCTAGAGTCGGCGATACATCGCCGATAGATCGGTGATAGGCCCCCGATAGCGAATCCGCACCTTTCTGGGCGGGGTGGGGCTATCAGGCCCCTAAAGGCGATGAATGGACGGTTAGGGGTCGATACATCCCTCCCACGCCTATCTCTCAATCATCGTTGCCCCTGATGCCTTCCGAGCCCCGCACCGAAAAGTCGCTCTTTTCGATAAGTACGCCCGCATATGCCTCGCACGTGTTACCCTGGGGGTCAGTCCAGTGGGGGTCCGGCACGCAGCCAGACCGCAGCCAGGCCGTCATCGGGATCCTTGGAACCAGGTGGTAGTATTCGTTGCACCACACCAGCTCGCCCAGTCTGACGTCGCCCGTCTCCCAGAGTTGCGTGCACCCTATTTCTCGGTACTCGCGGCAACCGTCGGCCAAAAGGTCTCCCATGCACTGCACGAGGTGAGACACCTTCCTGTCGTAGTCTGTCCACTTGCCCTCCTTGAAGTAACTCTCGATCCTCCTTGTCCAGTCAAAGTGCATGAGGTAGTCGACCAGAGTCACGCAGGCGAGCTCACACTGAGTACCTAGAGGCCTCCTAGATGGGGTCGGAGAAGATGGGGTCCGAGGATCGCACCGCATCGCCGATACATCGGCGATGCACCAGCGAGGTATCGTCGACGTCGGCGACGCATCATCGACGTCGACTTGAATCAAATCGGGCCCCACACGGCGCCGCACCGGCGGTGCATCGGCGATGCGGCGCGATCCTCCGACTCCGTCTACTCTTAGGTCGGGCGTGTCCTCCTACAAAAAGAACAGATTCTCACAAAATGTCCAAACATTTTTAAAAATACTCAAACATCGTCCCCAGACTATTTCTTCACTATTTTTGAATATTCCCCCTGTAGAGGGACAGGCCCGACTTATATCTACTCCGACACCATCTAAGAGGCCTAGATTTGGAGGCCTGGAAATGGGCACCACCACCAACACAGGGGGGTTGCCTCCACAGGGGGAAGATGACTCTAGATTTCGGTGGTGGTGACAACATTTCGGCCACCCTGGAAGCCAGAATATAACCACCATCTCCGAGATCGGGATCTTCTTCCCTCGGTGGAGGCACACCGCCGATATTGGTGTTGGTGTCAACCTCTGGGCCTGCGACAGAGCACCTCCAGGCACCCCAGACGCCGACTGGAAGGCGAAGGAGTCGTCCTGGTCGAGCGGGCCAGCGGGCGCCACGCTGCACCTGGGCGACAGCACGCACCTGCGCGGCGCGCGGCCGACCAGCCGAGGCTCGCAGCCCGGGCCGGCGCTCCGATTACTGGCCGAGGCCGCCCAGAAGGACACCAGCGGGGAGTAATCATAGGGGAACGAACAGTGACACAGGGCTGGGCCTGAATGTTGTTCTTCGTTTTGTTTTTTTGCAGACGTAAACGCGTTTACTGTCTCGGAAAATTCGTTGGGAAGGGTAGCGGTTCGGATTGTTCACGTTGTCTCCGTACTGGAGGTTGTCCCCTTGGCTGACAAGGAGGTCGGGGTGGCTCGAATTCGAAATTCGATTTGCTTAGTGGGGATCTGGTTGGGGTGTCGGCCCGAGGCCTCCGGTTCCGTGGTTGCCACGCGCGCGCGCGCTCTTGGCCCAGCAGGGAGTCGGGGTTCCATTCCTCGATTTCCCCACCAACCCAACCCCCTTTGGGCGTATGCCAGGGGCTGGGCTTCTGGGCCCGAGGCACCCACAGAGCGATGCCACAGGTCAGTGCGGGCTCGTGTGGCCCGTAGGGCTGTCCCTCCCCGCTGCTGCCAACGCGGTCCCGCCGCCGCTCCCTGAGCCGCAGGCGCCGCGGCCGCTTCGCAGCGCCATGTTCCACCTTGTGCTTCGTTATGCTCTGCCCGTTTTCCTGTACCTCCCTGCCAGAACGGAGAACGAAACACAGCCGAGGTCATGCAAAACAGCATTTAGGTCCAGCCCTGCAATGACAGAAGCATAAAAACTCGGAGGTCCGCGCGGATTTCTCGGATCGGCGCTGGCCCCCCCTCCCCGGCGGCGCGCGGAGCGCGCCAGGGGCGGCCTCAGAGGCGCCGCCAATGGGGTTCCAGCGCCGAACTGAGAAACCCACGCGGACCCCCAAGTTTTTATGTTTATGTCATTGCTCGTTCCCCTAAATCAACCAGGTGCTCGTCCCTCAGGAGCGCGAGGGTCTCGTTGAGCTGTGGCATCAGCTCGGCCCAGCCATGCCACTCCCTCAGCCTCCACTGGTGCCGGACCAGCTGTGCCAGGAGCGGCGCCCTCTCGGTAGACTTGGCCGGCTTCGGCTTGACATCGTAGCCGCCATGCCAACTCACGTCCACGCCGAGATCCTCAGCACAGTGACTGGGAGACCCTGCTGGTAAAATTTGCTCCGCGGTGAGACCAATGGCAGCTGCGTTGAAGAAGTTCTTCATGACAATGGCCCGGCGATGCGCGTCGAAATAGACGGGCTCCTCTAGCAACGGGTACCTGGCCGCGCGCTTCAGGGCGCCCAGCTTTAGTCTCTGCTGGCTTTCCTGGAAGAGCAAAACGAAACAACCATAAACATTCGGAGGTCCGCGCAGAGTTCTGGGGTCCAGCGCCGACCCCAGACATCTGCCAGGACCCTCGACCGCTTGTTCATGAATTGTTCGATTCAATCTCCGTATCGCTTTGACTAAGCAACTTGACGATGTAGAGCCCGTCCTTGCTCCTCTGGAATTCGCGGGCCCAACGGGCCAGAGGCTTGCTAAGATCTTCGGTAACAGGTGTAGAAGATTCCTAGTTCGCGCGCGCGAGCAGCCGCTGGGGGTCGCTGGGCGAAAAGTACACGGGCCAATCTCTGGCACGGTCCGGTCAGAGATGGCTCTGCGAGAATGCCCAAGAGGCCCCCAAGAGGCCCCAAAGAAGGTCCAAGAATGCTCCGAGACGCCACAAGACCGCTCCAAGACGCACAAGATCAGGAGATGGCCCCCAGACAGCCCAAGAGGGCTGCAAGACGCCCCAAGAAGCCTCCTGGAGCACTCCATGAGCGCCCCAAGAGGCAGGCAGTTGTTGAAATATTGTGGCGTTCTCGCCATATCGGCTTCCCGACGCTCCAAGACGGCCCAAGAGGCCTCCAAGATCGCCCAAAGACGGCTCCAAAGGCCTCCAAGAGGGCCTGAAGACGGCCCAAGAAGGCCCCAAATGCACCCAAGACGGCCCAAAAGGGTCCCAGGACGCCCCCAAGAGAGGGCCCAGATGGGGACGCCGAACGGACGGTTCGAGCCCTCGGCCCCAAGAGGCGCCCATGAAGCTCCGAGAGGCCCCCAAGAGCCACCCAACATCTCTAAGAGGCCCCCAAGAGGCCCAAGAGAGCCCCAAGAGGCCCCAAAGATGTTCCATGGACGCTCCCGAGAGGACCCCAAACTGCTCCCCCATGGACCCCCGAGAGCCCTCCGAGGAGACTCCAAGAAGCCTCTACGAGGACTCTGACCCACAACCCAGGCAGGGTTGCCCCGCAGCGCCGCTGGGGCCACGAGCACGCGGGCAAATGCCAGCGATGCAGCATTATCCGCCGGCGGGATGAGCGAAGCGATCAAATATGCTGTCTCCTCCGCGCCGGCTCCCCAGGGGCCTCAATGAGTCGCAGCCGCACAAGAGCGACCTGCCCACCCGTTCCAAGATGGTGAGGTTGTTCCCCTGCGTGGGCACAGATATCTACGACAAGCCTACGACGCAATGACGCCGGCGGTGGACTCTGACACCGCGTGGATCGTTCAATCTTGACCGATCTCGGCTTCCCGATAGCGCTGAGCGCACAAGATCGGTCGACTCCGCACCACTTGCGTTGGTGAATCTTGAAAGCCCGCGCTGGAGTCGCCCCTGCGTTGGCGCGACGAGAAACTGCCTTCCCGTATGCACCACATCTCGTCTCTGGCAAGGTGATTTGGAACCCCGAGAGAAGTACGGAGAAAACGGGCACTATGCCCAACAGCGAATGGTATGCAAAACCGACAGCGGCCGCTGTTGGGCCAGCGACTTGTTGTCTAAACTCGGCAACGTCCGCGGCGGCATCGACAGCGATCCCTGTTCAAAACGAACAGGAATTGCTGCTGGTCTTCGTCAGCATTTCTTTCGTCCCCGTCCCGATCGCACCGAGAATAGTAGGCGGCGCGCAGAGGGGGGTAAGGGGAGGGGGGAAGGCTTCCTAGAAGGAGGCTGCCTCTTAGAAGGTGAGGGTCCTACATCTGTAGGCAAGGCCCGCGCCTGCCGTCCCTCCGCCTGCCCCCCCTCCCTGCGCGCCGCCAGCACAAACTGCCGGCAACACTCAGCCGACCCGCCTGCGCGCGATGCTCCGTGCAGAGCGCGGCCACAGTCGGCGCTCTCACGGAGCGCGAAGCGCGATCACCTCCGCGCCTCTGTGAGTGCCCCTCGTGCACCCCGTCCAACCTGACCCGAGGACCCAAGTTTCGGGTTGGGGGGGGGGTACGGGTTTCACACTTGTTTTTGTCAGTGTCCCCCGACGCCCCCCCCCACCAGGAATGGAGGCCATTTGGTCTTCGGGTGGGGCCAAGGTGGTTCGGTGGGTGGGGATGCACACCCGGCCCTTTTGCGGAGTTCGGAAGCAACTCCTGGAAGGCCGTCGCAAGAACGAGCAAGCGCTATGAAGCTCATGTTGCTTCCACCGTACTTAAGGACCACATCCCAGAAACAATTTCCAGCGCCCAGAAAAATGTCGAAACAGTGTCCAACGAGTATCGCCTGCTAGGGCCCGACGCATGAAAACCCCGACGTTTCGGTGCTTTCGTGGTGCTCGAAATTCTTTCTGGTGATCAAGGCTAGAAGCAAGTTGGGACATCATGATATGGGCCACGAAGCCGGATCAGAACGGACTGAGCCCAGAATTCGGACCGATGGGGCCAAATGAGGTGGACCGCAACGGTATTCTGCCGGACTGGGCTGGCTTTAAGTCGGGCGTGTCCCTCTACAGGAGGAATATTCAAAAATAGCCAACACAAATGTCTGGGGACGATTTTTGGAATATGATTGGTTATTTTCCCATGTCTTATACTTTCAATTTGTCACCCAAAATCCGCCTGTAGGGGGGCATGCCGACCGAAGGCTGGCTTTCCACCACGGATGTGGAGCCTTGGAAATGGCCACCAACACCGACACAGGGGGCTGCCTCCACGAGGGGAAGATGATCCTAGATCTTGGGGCGTTGGTGGTAATATGTCAGCTATCTAGGAACCCCGAATCTTACCACCATCACCGAGATCGGGATCATCGTGCCTCGGTGGAGGCACACCGCCGATATTGGTGTTGGTGTCAACCTCTAGGCCTCCGAATGTGCCAGCGCAGATGATGACTTTCACGAGATTCGTCCCCGAGCGGAGGTGCGGTGCACAGCTCGCCGGAGCCGGCCTGCGCGTCGACGAGGTAGACGCAGGTGTCGTGCACCTCGGCGCCCCATCGCCGCTCGGAGACGTCCCCGCAGGTGACCTGGCCCACCTGGAAGAGCAACAAAAAAGGCACACACACACCAGCTCAGAGTTCAGAACATGCGAGCGACGATCAACAACGGGCCTTGCGCGAGATGGCAGTTCGACCTTACGCGGTGGCTTACGCGAGCCGCCGGCGCGGCACGCTACTTCAGAGACCAAGGAGACCGAGGCGCTTACGCGCGACCTTACGCGGGCACCTTACGCGCCAATGTCGGCGCAGTCGACCTCGTTTTTTGTTGCATCGCTCATTTTACGCTACGAAAGCCGACTTCGCTCGAAGCGTTTTATCAAAACCTACGAACATGCCAAGAAGAAAGGGAGCTCCAAGAAAACGCCCCGAGTCCAGTCCAGCATCTGGATTTCCTTGAGCGAAAGCTGGAGTCCAGTCCACGAAAGTTGTTGTTTTTTCTGCAGATGTTTGATGGGCATACACAGAAGCTTTCGGAGGTCCTCGCGGCTTTCCTGGCTTTGCGCCGAACCACCCCTCCCTGGCGCGGGGCGCGCGGGGCGCGCCAGGGGCGGCGCTGTAGGCGCCGCCGGGGGGCTTCAGCGCAGAGCCAAGCGATCCTCGCGGAGTTCTTTGAAGTTTATGTTTAGGTCGGGCATGTCTCCCTACAGGTAGGACTTTTTGTGCGAAGCTTAACAAATGGTCAAGCAAATACGCAAGAATAGCCCAACAATACTCCAACATCATCCCCTGACTATGTTTGGCTTATGTTTGAATGTTCCTCCTGTAGAGGGACACGCCCGACTTAAGTTATGTTTACACGTCGGTCGGAATAAGTAGGTCAACACATGAAGTAGGAAGGCGCTGGAAGCAGGCTGGGTCTCCGCCCGCCACCTGAAGAGAGGAAGGAAGAGGTGAAACCACTCGATCACTGAAGTAGGAAGGCGCCTAGCAGTAAATTGGGATCCGACAATCAAACAATACGGTCGGGGCGTTGACCTCAGGAATGATAAAAAAGAACGAGGCCCCTTCTTCCCGATAAAATGAACTTCGATTTCCCAGGGAAAACCTCCGGAAAACCCAAGGCAAGCTGTAAAACAACTGAGGCACACGGAGCCCCTCCCCAACCAAAAGGGTTCCTTCTTCAGCGCCCCGACTGTACCTACTTTCAGCGACCGGCGTGTATGTCACTGTCTGCTCCCCGACAACCGGGGGCGTCGAGCGGGCCCACGCCCGCACGCCAGAGCCGCACACCGTCAGCAGGAGAGCGACTCGCGCGCCCACGGGGGCGCACAGGTCGTCCGCCCTGCACTGGTGGCGGAGGAAGGCGAGCTCGCCGGCGTCTGGGGCCCCAGGGCACGCGGCGCGGGTGGCTTCGGCGGCCGCCTGCCAGGGCCCCGACCTGCACGATCTCGCGGCGTGGCCGACCGCGCAGAGCTTCAGCTCCTTCAGTTCCGCCTCCGTCTGGAAGTCGTCCGCGTAGCCTAGCTCAATCGAGTCCAGGCTGACCTCGCTGCACTGGCTCGCTACGCAGTCGACAAGTCTCCCCCCTTGGCTTTGGCGGCCCAACTCACCACTTCGATTGAGCGAGAGCAGGGCCCTATTGCCGGCGGCGAGCGAGGGGGGAAGTGAGAAGGAGAAGGCCCTCTTAGAAGGCGGCGGGGCTTCTCCGAAGGCCTCCTGCCTTGTCTTCGGGGAGGGCCGAAAACAGTTCTCAGACGGCCAGGGAAAAAATCGTTGAAAAGACCTTCTCTTGAGCAGAGGCCCGCCGTCCCGGCATTCCTTTAGGCCCACCACGCCCTGCTCTCAGAACCCCCAAACGGTTCGAACAAAAAGAACAGGTGTTCTTAGAACAGAAACCCGATGTGCAAACACAAGACGGCCTCAGCTTGAAACGTTCTACGCACATCTCGTGCAGACCGCACAGGGTTCTCAGAACATCCTTTGGTGGGCCTACTTATGGGCAGACCAGGAAGCTTCGCCACTGCCTGACCCCAGGCTCGCCGCCGAGATTGAGCGAGAGCAGCACCCTATTGCCGCCGGCGGGCCAGGCCGACGAGAGCAGCAGGCCCCACCACGCGACCGCCGGGTGTGCGGCCGCGGGCACCATGTGGGCTGGCCGGCCGCCGATCGCCGCCGCCCTGCGGCTGCGCGGCGGGATTCCAGGAGCGGCCGCTGGAGAGGGAGCTGAGTTTCGCAGAACTGCTGGAGCACATGGCTCGGACCACCGTGCCTGCGGGTCGGGGGCAGAACCTGGAGTCTGGGCCTGCATCTCGGCCTGGGTCCGAGCCCGGGTCTGAGTCCGAGACCTCGGCTGGGTCTCAGCCGACGTCTGGGCCCGAATAGGAGCATGCCTCCACCTCCTTCTCCTACTGGGTCGCAGTCTGGCTGCCAGCTCCTGCCCGGACCCACGACCAAACGGGAGCCAAGATGCGAGTCATTGTCTGGATCTGAAGGTTTTCCTGTTTCGCCTCCTCCTCCTCCTCCTCCTCCTCCTCCTCCTCCTCGTGCGACCGACCCCCCCCCTGAAGTGCACTGGACCCCCCCAAAAGCACTGGACCACCTGGAACTTCCAGAACTCACAGGACTTGCCAGCACTTCCTGGAACCCTCCTCCTCTCAGGAAGAGAAGAGGAGAGAGGTGGAGGAAGAGGACGAGAGGAGGAGGAGAAGGAGGAGGAGGGGGAGAAGGACCAATGTAAACCCAAGGGTCATCAACGATGTTGGAGTAAACCCTCCCTCCAAGGTCCCTCTTCATAGGCCCCCTACAACGGTTTATTTCCACTGTTTTTTCCATCTCGCATATCGTGTGCCGGGGAGTCGACAAGCGGTTCATTTCCATTGATGGAACTGCCTCGTTGGAAGACAACCGTTTGGAGACCCTGAAGCTTGCCAAGACATTGTTCTCGGGATTCCAACGCCACGGATCAACCTGACTGTTTGCGCCTTGACGGTCCTGAACCGCGCCAGAAGGCCATTCCTAAGACTTCAACGCAGAGAATCAACGTAACTGTTGCACCCGCATAATCCTGAATCCTTCCAAAACAGAAATTCTGGTACGCTGATGATGGAAATCCGTGAAACCCTTGAGAATGTTGTGAGCGAATGTGCGCGGCGCTAAAACGAGAACCACATGTTGCGAAGGAGCCGCCCTCAATCCGTGAAGCTGTTGCACACGTGTTAAACGAATCTGCGCCGCGCTAAGACTAAAACCACATGTTTGAAAACGCCTCGCCCTCAACCTGTGGAACTCTTACACATTTGTAAAACGAATGTGCGCCGCACCCAGGCGAGAAACACAAACGACCCGCCCTCAATCCGTAAAGCTCTAGCACATGTTTAAAACAAATGTGCGCCGAACTACAACGAGAACCGCAATTTGAAACAGAACCGCTCTCAATCCGTGATGTTCTTGAAAATGTTTAAAACGAATGTGCGCTGCGCTAAGGCGAGAGCCACATTTTGAAAACGGTTCGCCCTCAGTCCGTGAAGCTCTCGCGACTGTTTGAAACGAGTGCGCGCCGCGCTAAGGCCAGAGCCACATTTGGAAAACGAGCCGCCCTCTTTCTGGGAAACTGCTGTCAACATTCAAGCTTCAAAATCATGAACTGCAAGGAAATCTCAGGCGAAACGCCCGGCCCGCCCTGAAAACTGGCCTCGGGGTGCGACCGGGAGAAACTTTTCTTAAGGAAAAGGAAAAAGAATTGAGAACAAGGAGGAGGAGGACGAGGAGGAGGAGTAGGAGGAGGAGGACAAGGACAAGGACATCCGCATGAGGGGGTAACGTCAGAGCACCTACTCGGGTGATCTACGCACTATTGCCAAAAGGAGGAGGAGGAAAAGGAGGAAGAGGAGGAAGAGGAGGAGGGAGGGAGGAAGGGAAGGAGGAGCGAGCAGGGAGTGGGCGGAGCCCAGCCCACTTCCACCCTAGAGCCTTCTCGGCGCCGCCCAGGCACGAGTGCTCGCCGCACGGCTCCACCTCCAGCGTCGCCTTCACTCTCCGAGAGCGAGAAACAGTTAAGCAAACACGGGGAATGGACTAGCATCCTCGTCGTCGTCGTCGTCCTCCTCCTCCTCCTTTTCCTCCTCCTCCTCCTCCTCCTCCTCCTCCTCCCCGTCCTCCTCCTCCTCCTCCTCCTCCTCCTCGTCCTCCTCCTCCTCCTCCCTCCTCCTCCTCCTCCTCTTCCTCCTCCTCCTCCTCCTCCCCCTCCCCCTCCTCTGCCTCCTCCTCCTCCTCCTCCTCCTCCGCCTCCGCCTCCCCCTCCCTCTCCCCCTCCCCCTCCCCCTCCCCCTCCCCCTCCCCCTTCCCCCCCCTCCTCCTCCCCTCCCTCCCTCCCTCCCTCCCTCCCACCCTCCCTCCCTCCCTCCCTCCCTCCCTCCTCCTCCTCCCCCTCCCTCCTCCCTCCCCTCTCGCGCCGCTGGCTCCCGAGTGGGACCGGCACCCCCTGCGCCCCAGGGGGACCGACGGCGATGCCGGAAAGAGGTCAGTCCGGCGGGGACTAACCGAGAAGCAGGTTAATTCGCTGGGTGGGGATTCTGTCATCTTCGGTAACCCATGAGGCACGGCGTCGAAATGTTAGTCTTTGGAGCGCACCTTGGCCCCATACAGACCTCGCCCAGGGCCGAACTTTTTGCTTTCCTTCAGTTTCTGTTGGTTTGCCTCCCTCCCGTTGTGGTCCACGCGGGCTACGGAGGCCTACTGGACGGCCTGGCCCTCGGGCCCAGTAGGCGCTGTGTACACCGCGGCGGGTGAACGTCGATTTGTGGGAACGCATATGGGCCAAAATGCAGGACCTGGGCGACGTGGGGGTCGATGTCGGGATGGTTCTCATTAAAGGGCATCAGCGTGGTCAGCACAACGATGCCGTAGGTAACAGGTGGGCTGATCTCGCTGCCCGCAACGGCAGAGATTTGCACGCCGCCCCTCGGTCCTCCTGTCAGGCCATGGGGCTAGGGCACAATCAGTACATCCGTGTTTTGAAGTGGGGTGTTCACGCCCCTCAATCCTTCTTCAACGGCCACCGTGTTGAAACTAGACCACGGTGACGGCCCAAGCGTTTCAGGCCCCCAATTCGGCCCGTTCGAATCGAAATCGAGCAGCCGGCCCACAGACGGCACGTGTTTGCCCCTGTGCCCTAGCGGAGCATATGGAGGTGCTTGTACTGCTGCTTGTACTGCAAGAAGGGTTCGAAGCGCGAGGAGACCTGTCGTCGTCTCTCCCTTGTTGCCTGCCCTGCTCGGGCTCGGGGGGTTGGGAATCATGTTGCTGAGAGGCCCCCGATGCCGCGCGCCCTGGTGGCGCTGCGGGCGGACAGGATGGCAACGGGGACCTGCCTCCCAGAACCCGCAGAGCCCCTGCCGCCAAACGGGCCCGTTCCTTCTCAGGCCGCCAGAGGCCACAGGCTCTGGGTGGCCCCTGCGTGTGTGTGTGTGTGTGTGTGTGTCTTTGCGTTTCTTGAGGATTATTTCACCAATGGGACGGCAGGTCAGCTCTTAGTAGATTGCCTCTCCTCGAACCCTGGCCACCAACTGAGCGAAAGGGCCCAGAGGAACCGCCGCCTTTTTCTTTCGGGATTTCATCCCTCGGACGAGGCGCGTGGAGACCCCCAGCGAGTCCCAGTGCCTCGACCCCTTCGAGTTGACGACTCAGAAGTTCTATGGGTCAGGCTCCATCGGA